CACGCCGCTGGCGAATCTTATACGTATTGTTCTTGTCCTAAGTATTATCGTTCATTACCAACTTTCGTGTGATTATTCTAATCAGCAAACTTCCCTTACAACATAACGTAATAATTTCATGTGTGTAAAAGTTTAAATTTGTTTTCTACTATATTCACGTGTTCTTATGAGATGTTTGAAGAAACGGACGATATAACATTTCTTCAGCTATTTACACTGGCATATTGATGTTTTTTCTTTAATTTCAGCTTTTTTCTGTATTTGTATTTATCTTATATGAAATATCAGAGAACGGTAAATTACTAAATTGCAAATTTCGAAAATAGATCGCCATTTTTAAGATGGAATCAGTGATTGACAATCACTCAAAACGAGAAGACATTTGATTTGTTGTCAATATATTAAGGGTCAATGTAACAAAATGTAGATTTTTCCTTTTTTTTTTTTTTTTTTTTCAGCCAATTTATATGGTTTTCTTTAGTTTCTCCGACATTATCGTTTTTCATAACGCTTGTTTTTAATATATTTTTTTTATTTCGAAAGGAATATAATTGCTCGGAAACAATTGATTTACAAAATGTTAAACTAATATTCCATCTACCCTTTAATTGTATTGTTTCCTAAAGAAATCATCTTGTAAAGAAATCATCGGGCTGTTCTAGTAGCGCTTGCATAAAAACTTTTTTTTAACAAACTTAATACAGAACATTTTAGTCCTTTCTTCTCGCTTCCCTGCAAAAATTCTTGTAGTTTCATTTCTGTATCCGCTATTGTTGTGGTGTCCTCCATCTAAAGAGTCTATGTTGGACTCTTCCACCTACTATAAAATTAGTAGGAGAGAAGGCTTTGGGGGAACAGTCGCACAGATTGTTCAACTGTCGAACTCTCTGCCTCGGCAGAGCGGAACTCGCACGAGGCTTTGCCGCATGGCAAAGTTTCGTCTGGGGAGGTAGACAGTCCCTGAACCCGTTTACGCAGGTTCAAAGGGTAAATTTTTGGCCGAGCCTACGGGCTCTGAGAAACCCACGTTAAACTCGGCCTTGTGCCACATACATATAACAGTCGCACATATTGTTCAACTGTCCAACTCCCTGCCTCGGCAGAGCGGAACTCGGACGAAGCTTTACCGCAGTTTCATCCAGGGAGGTTGACAGTCCCTGAACACGTTTAGGCGGGTTCAAATGGTATACTTTTGGCTCGGATTACCCACAAAAAAACGGCCTTGTGCCATATATACACTCGTGCTGGTGGTGGTGGTGGGGCTTTTAACTATTAACAGTCGAATAGATTGTTCATTACTGTTGAACTCTCTGCCTTGAGCAGTGAGGAACCCGGACGAGGCTTTGCCGAAGTGCACAGTTTCGTCCTGGCAGGTAGACAGACACTGAACCCCTTTATACGTGTTTTAAAGGAATATTTTTGGGCGAGCCTACGGGCTCGGAGTACCCATGGTAAATTGGGTCATGTGCCACATACATCTCTCGTGGGGTGGGGGGCTGTTAAATATTAACAGTCGCATAGATTGTTCAGCAGAGAGGAACCCGGCTGTGGCTTTGCCGAAAGACAAAGTTTTGTCCGTGGAGGTAGACAGACCTAAACCTGTTTATACGAGTTATAAGCGAATATTTTGGGGTGAGCCTACAGGCTCGGAGAATCCACAGTAAACTCGGCTTTGTGCCACATTCATCCCTCGTGGGTGGCTGTTAATCATTATCAGTCGAATAGATTTCTTCCAAATGTGCTGGTCAAACTATCTGCCTCCGGATAGAGAGGATTTCCAGATGAAGCTATGTCGAAGGGCAGAGTCACGTCTCGGGAAACAGCTACGCAACCCCGATTTATACCGGGTCTACGGGGAATTTTTGGCCGAGGCTACGGGCTGGATTCTCTTACATTAAACTCGGCCTTGCGCCACATCCTACCTCGTGGGGGAGTTGGTAAATATCGACAGTCGAATAGATTGAACGCTGGTCAACCGACACCCACTCAGTCGTGTAATATTCTTCTGTTGTATTTACTGTTTAATATATGATATATCTGTGACAGTTGTTTTGTTATTAAACCATCTACTTGCTCACAACAGCTTTGAACACTTTGCCATCTGTGTATTCTATATTGTGGCAGCCAGTAATGAATCCTGGTTTGAATTCTAATTATCACAGAATGGTCTCTCTGTATATATTGAAAAGACACAAAGACTAGAGGCATCCTTATCCCATACCCGCTTTTTGAAAGGACAAAACATCAAATGCAAGAATATTGAAGGCTTGGTTGTTAGCAAAAGGGACAAGCCAACAGGCAAATTACAAATTGGAGATACCGAAATGAAACAATGAATTTAAATATCTGGGAAGTGTATTAAGAAAGAACGATAAGTTGGCCATCGTAAACCGAAGGCACAATGGGATAGTGAATGATGCCTTTTAACACCTGAGAAACGTATTATGAAACAGAAAAAATATCGTTACAAAGAAAAGAGAACTGAACTGCTATGTATGGCAATGAATGATGGACAATCTCTTCACAGATGAAAAGGCTTCAAGCAACAGAGATATTGTTATATGCAAAGAATAACATGGACCTAACTTGTGAGCAAGGAGAAGGGTAATAAAAAGGACATTTATGCGTAACACCCGTAAGTGACAGACAAAATTTCTGGGGCACTTAATGTGGATGGAAGTTTTTTAAAAAAATGATACTCACAGGAGAGACTGAAAGTAAGGGAGACAAAAGAAAGCAATATACAGCCGACTTGTCGAGCTTGATGGAATAGATGACAGCACAGGAATTGGAATAGATAACAAAAAAAATCAAAAGTTATTAACAGCTACAATATTTAGCTGTCCTTCCACATGGGGTCGCATGTGGCACAAGGCCGAGTTTAACGTGGTCACCCGAGCCCGTAGGCCCGGCCAAAAATATAGCCTTCAACTCGCCTAGGCGAGTTCGAGTGCTGTCATAACCTCCCCGAACGAAACCTTACCCTTCGGCAAAGCTTCGTCCGGGTTCCTCTCTGCTAATGCAGAGAGTTTGACAGATGGCGGTTGCTGTAACTTTAATACAGCTACTATTAACAGCTACAAAAGACAATAAAATATGGAGAGCCGTGATCATCAATGTCCTGAAGAGACACGGCACATAAAAGAAGAGGGAAAAGTACGGGATAAATTAAACACAGAATATGGTGCGCTAAATTATGTTTTCTGCAAAGCTCCAACCTGCTACAAAGCAAAAATATTACAAACGAGTCATGTACTTAAATTGCCTCGTCAGACTTTAATTTCAATGTCACACATGGCGTCTCTCTAGTTCAGAAACATCTAATGATAATGTTAATGGCAGTATTAATGTTATAACTCACTCCTACCGTTTATAATATTATGTCTCGCTTTGGCTGCTCGCCGTGTCGTCACTAAAAATTCTCCTCAAATGACTCTGACTGATAGTTACCGGTCGTCCCAGTGCGGAATATATGCAACGCAAGTTTTAAGTGAGGAACACGAGCGTTTCTACCCGGGCCACTGATCAAAAAATTTACCCAGACTCTGCCAAAGCGGGCTCAGGTAGAGTACGTGTCTGTTTTTCTCAGTCGAGTCTCTATCCGAAGACAGACTCCTGACTGAGTCACACTCTGAGGTCTTGTAAATAGCAAGCCAGGCAGCGAACTGGTCTATTTCACTCAGTCGGGGTTTCGATCTGAAGACAGAGCCCCGACTGAGACATCCTCTACCTGAAGATGGGGGTATTGTCGCGTCTGGCGGACTGCTATTTACCGGTCGTCCCACAGCAGACTAGATGTGACACAAGGTCAAGTTTACTGTGAAAAGCCGAGCGCTTCCACTGGTCAAAATTTACCCATCCCCCGCCAAAGTGTGCTCGGGTAGAGACTGGTTTATTTTTCTCAGCAGCTATTATCGCTCTTTCCAGTATTGATGGGAATTTCCTTCCTAACCTTTTCTTTGAAGTAGTGTGAAATGTCAACATCTTGATTATGTCATTATTTTCTCTTCTCAAGTCCAGTAGCAGTTATCGCTCTTTCCAGTATTAATGGGAGTTTCCTTCCTAACCTTTTCTTTGAAGTAGTGTGGAACGTCAACATCTTGATTATGTCATTATTTTCTCTTCTCAAGTCCAGTAGCTGTTATCGCTCTTTCCAGTATTAATGGGAGTTTCCTTCCTAACCTTTTCTTTGAAGTAGTGTGGAATGTCAACATCTTGATTATGTTATTATTTTCTCTTCTCAAGTCCAGTAGCTGTTATCTCCCTTTCCAGTATGGACGGGAGTTTCCTTCCTAACCTTTTCTTTGAAGTAGTGTGGAATGTCAACTTCTTGATTATGTCATTATTTTCTCTTCTCAAGTCCAGTAGCTGTTATCGCTCTTTCCAGTATTGATGGGAGTTTCCTTCCTAAACTTTTCTTTGAAAAAGTGTTAAATGTCAACATCTTGATTATGTCATTTAGCTTTTACTGCTGTTAGAAGTCTTCGAGTGATGTGTTTTCTGTTATTTGGTACAGTTCTTTGTTTGTAATTCTTTAGCGCCAGGTCACAAGGTTCGTATAAGTGTGATTTCGCCAAGGCCCACGGGCTTCTCCCATTGAAATAATTTCAAACAATTGATATGAGAAAGCGGATGAACATTTTTGAACGCCATCAATATGAAAATCTCTATATGACTAGTGTATTTTAGAACATGATATGACCTTTCAATTTAATGCTACCCTTTTGTAGCAATTTGTGGTGTTGTGTAGAAACTACCTCGAGTGCAACTTATTCACTATTTAATTTGGCTTTCTCCTACACTAAATTTGCTACATCTGTCTCATATGCCAAGGATATGTAGTGTTTTGTATTCTCTGACGTATTTTATGATGGATTCCTGGAATATATACGTATGAACAGACTGGGATAGATAATGAACAAACTGTGACATCTATCTATCTATCTATCTATCTATCTATATATATATATATATATATATATATATATATATATATATACAGAGAGAGAGAGATAGAGAGAGAGAGAGATAGAGAGAGAGAGAGATAACAGAATGAGATAGATAGATAACTAAAAAATGAGATAGATAATGAACTCAATATAGATAAATAATAAACAGAATTAGATAGATAGATAGATAATGAACAGACTATGATAGATAGATAGATAGATAGATAGATAGATAGATAGATAGATAGATAGATAATGAACAGACTATGATAGATAGATAGATAGATAGATAGATAGATAGATAGATAATGAACAGACTATGATAGATAGATAGATAGATAGATAGATAGATAATGAACTGACTATGATAGATAGATAGAAGATTATGATTGTGGGAGTATCGTAAATAGCTTTTGGTGCAAACTGTATTTATTGAGTATGACTAAATTTTTATTTAAACCTAGAATGTTGGAATTTTTTTAAAAACGATCTTTTCATGCATGTATTGTATTCAAACATATAGTCAAGGTTGATTGAAATATGCAGCTAGAGTGAAATTCTTGATTTTGTTTCTGAGAGTACCGAAATATATAATGCTAATCAATTTTCATTTATTTTTAGTTTTTGCAGAAAGTTCGTACAATATCTACTAATGCTATTTTTTTTAAATCAGAGTAATTTTGAATTCAGTAAACTTTGTTATTAAATCCACCTTTAGAACTACAGTTATTTTACAAATAATTCAAAATATACCAAGAAGGTAGATATTATTATGGGGAGAGAACAATGAAAGAACAGACGTTAAGTTGACTGATGATAACGATTGACATTGCATTTACAATACATTTAAATAATGAGACCTTTTCACCAATCAAGTATTGCACTTAAATTCATAAAGTCTACGTAACGTAGAAGAAATTTCTTTAGAATAGAAAAGGCACAGGGAATCTATTTTATGGCGCTGGGAATTTTTATTTTACAGAATTCGCTGCCATATCGGAGGACCTATAATTATATAATATTTTAATACCTTTTTTTTTCTTTTCTAATACTATGGAAGACATCATTTATTATCTCAATACAACTTCAAATTTCGGTGTGACATTTACCGTTTGACGTTACTGCAATGTCAAAAATAGGCAGGTGTAGGCTTGAAGAAAGCTTTATTCAACTGAGAATACAAAGTCCGTCTATAGTGTCCTTTTATAGCCCCAGTAAACAGAAATAGGCAGGTGTAGGCTTGAAGAAAGCTTTATTCAAATGAGAATACAAGGTTCGCGTATAGTGTTCTTTTTATAGTCCCAGTAATGACAAAAGTAGGCAGGTGTAGGCTTTAAGAAAGCTTTATTCAACTGGGAATACAAGTTTCGTCTATAGTGTCCTTTTATAGTCCCAGTAAACAGAAATAGCTTTCTCAAAGAGAAAAGTAGCAAAACAAGGGGAGACCATTCTTGATTATTTATAACAATTACAACGCGTCCTACATATTTACATTTTTAATCTTCTTTGATTTTAGTGTCTAGTACTTATATAGTTATATAATTATGCATGTAATTCACGTTTTCGGTTTTCCTTACTATGTCTCCACAATATTTATTGAGGAACTAAAACAAGAGACAAAGTGTAAAAGATTTATTACTTTTTGGTTGGTTGTTTTTCTTTATCGGCATATCAACACCTCTATGGGTCATTTAATGCCGAAATATAAATATTTTGTACGCAATTTTATTTTATTAAGATAATAATAGTTTTATTGATACAAGTCTGGCTAAAGGAACCATAGCTGGGCGAGGAGAAATATCTTTACATACATTTACCAAAGGCTATTGCGCATAGGCATGGGCACGTGCTATAGTGGTTAGAACGTAGGCGTTCTGACCATGAGATCCGGGTTCAAATCTCACCATGGTCGATTAGTTAAGAAGGAGACTTCCTGATGTTATCGGACTGAAGGGGGCGATCCCAATGTGTGGCACCTTTGAAAAACCTTTTCACCCATGCCAGGTGAGAGAAATTTGGCAAACGTAAACCTTGCATGCCGTCGATAGCTGTTATGGGACAAAGTCACGAGTCATCGTGGCTTTGTTAAAATAGTTGATCACACCAGAAACTGTAATTTAAGTCTACTCAGTATAGTTGCAGTATAAACTACAGGTGTTGAATAAACACAGATGCTCATGAGCAAGCAATAGGGATACCCGTCTACTAGTCACACTAGTAGACGGGTATCGAGGATATCCGTCTATTAGTGTGACTAATAGACGGGTATCCTCGAATACGATAAATCTATACATACATATTGCGCGTAAATGAAATGATCTGTAACAACACCCGCACATCCAAGCTTACTGAACTTAAAATTTTCAAGCTGTTACCTAGTTAGTTGACATCTCTATAAACCTACCTGTGATGTCCGCGCGATTATAAATAGAACCCGCTCGGTTGAGGTTGGAACTCGTCAGTAGACAGCAAACCTGGCGACGAGGATGTAACAATTTAACGAATTTCGAATTAACAGCAAAAAAAAAAATACTCGAACTCACCAACAACACGAGTAAAACTTCGAATTAACAGCAAAGAAAAAAAAAGTACTCGAACTCAACAACAACGCGAGTAAAAAACTTCGAAAATAAATTATTACGAAAGAAATGGCTCTCTCTATGCCAACAATAGAGCCCCTAGACTGGAGAAGACTCCAACCAGGAGCAAGCATGGAGAGAATGGAGTGAACATATCGAAGACGCATTTACAGCGTTTGATATAACAGATGATAAACGACAACTATCACTCTTTCGATTTTACGGCGGAAAGAAACTGAAAGATATCCTCAAAACCTTAACACCGGAGATACCTCCAGGCCAAATAGAGCCTACATACAAAACAACAAAAATAGCACTGGACGAATATTTCATCCAGAAAAAAAATAAAGTCTTTGAAAGACATAAATTCAGGATGCTTAGTCAAGAAAACGGGAGTCAACACATGACTATGTCACCCGTCTACGCATACAAAGAGCAAAATGCAACTTTGGCGAATACAACCTGGAAAAGCCTATAGTGGACCAATTAATATAAAAATGCTCGTCAAGGAAATTACGCCGTGCGTATTTGAAAGAAACTGATTTAACAGTAAAGGAAGCACTTCAAAGAGCATTCATATTTGAATCCACTGAAACACAAGCTAAGCAAATAGAAGAGAATGAAAGAGAGCACTCAGATATCCACAAAATTACAACCAATTACAAGCAACAACAACAACGAGATAACAATGGGTATAGGAAACTATGCATGGACAACAACCCATTAAAAACAGTTACAAAATGCGACAGGTGAAATGGCTCCGACCACATACACGGTCAAACAAAATGTCCAGCATTTGGGAAAAAAATGTAACTACTGTGGAGTAATAAATCACTTCGAAATAACATGCTTAAAAAAAGGAACAGTGATAAAGGGAAAACGAAGATGTCAGACGGCCACAATTACGTCCAACCAGTATCGACGAATCCGAATAATGCAGGCAGCCAGGCATTCGTTTTTCAGGTGAAACCTATTCATTCAGCAGATAACGAAATTGTCCATATTGACGACGTACCAGTCGGAATATTAATAGATTCCGGGGGAGACATCAACCTTATCGACGGCAAAACATTTAAAGAAATCCTTAAAGTATGGCCAAACTTAATATTAAAAGAAACAAATTGTAAACCAAAATCTTATGGGAATATTCCAATACCACTAACAGGAGAATTTTTCGCAATGCTGACAAATGGTCCCAGAAGAAAAGCCCACAAAGTATTCGTTACAAAGGCATATCAAGGTGGTAACATATTAAGTAAGCGGGCCAGCATCGAACGAGGGTTTATCACCACCCCACAGGTGAAATCGATTACAACAAAAAGTATCCCGAAATCAACAAAAGAAATTCTAGATCGATACCTACCCTCGTTGGAAGGATTAGGAAGAATTAAAATTTTCCAACTCAAAATTAGACTAGACGACAACGTTATACCTGTTGCACAACCGCCAAGACGGACACCATTTCATATCCAACAAGCAGTAGAGGAAAAAATCAATGAAATGCTAGAAAATGATATCATCGAAAGAGTGGAAGGACCCACTCCGTGGGTCTCGCCGTTAGTAGCAGTACCGAAACCAAACGGAGAAATTAGAATATGTGCCGACTTACGCGTGGCAAATAAAGCAGTGAAACGCATTTGCTATCAAATACCAACAGTTGAACAGTTACTGAGTGAAATTGGTAATGCAAATGTTTTCTCAAAAATCAACCTAAACTCTTATTACCACCAAATAGAACTGGATACTGAAAGGGACATCACTACCTTTTCATGCAAATCCGGAATCTACCGATATAAGGTACTGGTTATGGGTATTGCATCTGCAGCCGAAGGGCAACGATTGCTTCAACAAATCCTTCAGAAAATCCCTAACTGCTGCAATGGGGCAGACGACATTCTAATCTGGGGCAAAGACACAAGGGAACATAACAGAACCCTAGATGTCCTTAGATATGGTATTAGGCACATTGAAAGAAAACAACCTCACAATTGCAGAGCATAAAAGCATATTCCATAGTGAAGAAATCGAATTCCATAGTGTCCAATACAGGGATCAGACCGACTGGCTCGAAAATAAAATCAATCAGAAATTTCAAAAACCCTGAAAACGTCCAGGATATATGTAGTTTCTTAGGTCTAATCAATTACCTCGCAAAGTTTATTCCACGACTGGCAACACTCAGTGAACCATTAAAAAAGTTAACGCGAGCAAACATGGCGGTGGACGGAGGAAGAAGAATCTTGTTTTCGCATGCTGAAGAATTCAGTTATTCAGAGCAAATCGCCCATGCACTTTCATCCAAAACTGCAAACATCTGTTATAGTAGATGCAAGTCCCATGGGTCTAGGAGCAATACTTTGACAAAACAAACAAGGGATACTCATACCCATCACCTACGCATACAGGACTCTAGCCGAAGGCGAATGCCGGTACTGTCAATTAGAAAAAAAGCCCTAGCAATTGTATGGGCTTGAGAAAAATTCCACTTTTACCTTTATGGAAAGAACTTTCTTATAATGACCAACCAACAAGCATTAACAACTATCTTCAATCCTAAAGGTAACCCCTCTGCGCGAATTTTGCGATGGGTTTTAAGTCTACAACAATATGATTATACAATAAAACACATTAACGGTAAAGATAACCCGGCAGACATACTCGCTCAGCAACCTATGGAGTATCAAAAATTAGTCTCACCCGAAGAAGAGATTGCCGGAGGATTTATCAACACGGTTGTAGCTATCAGCATTCCAAAATCAATCACCTTATCGGAAATAATGGAGGAATCGCAGCGGGACCCAACCGTCACAACAGTGAAAAAGGCAATACAACAAAACGACTGGAAGAATAAGTTAACAGAACCCTTTAAACAAGTGATGAAGGAACAGACAACAAAACGAGGCGTAGTCATATGCGGAGCCAGAATCATCATACTCCAAAACCTACAGAAAGGAATCCTGAAATTGGCGCATGAGACACATATGGGGATAATGAAAACAAAAGCCCTGCTCAGAATTAAGGTATTGTGGCACAATATAGACAAAGACATACAAGCTGCCATAAGCCGATGTATTCCGTGCACAACATTAGACCCGAAGGGAAACCACTGTCCGGTGCATATGGCCGAAATGAAAGGCCCCTGGGAAATACTCCACGTAGACATCTGTTGGCCTTTCCCTAGTGGGGATTATGTAATCGGAATAATCGATGCGAGATCAAGATGGCCCGAGGCATTTGTTACCAAATCCTCCAGGGCTGATACAATCATATCGACAATCCAAAGGTGTTTCTATACACATGGCATTCCAGCGTTTATCGTTTCAGATAATGGACCCCAGTTCATATCCTCAGAGTTTAAGCACTTCTGCAAAGAATGGGGTATCCAACACCGAAAGGTAACCCCTTATCATCCCCAAGCTAATGGAGAGATCGAGCGGTTCTTTGCAACCATGTTGAAAGCCATTCGGGCTATGAACACAGAAGGAAAGGACTGGAGAAAACATCTTGGAAAATTCCTAATGTATCACCGAAATAGTCCACATGCCATGACGGGAGAAACTCCAGCTAAGCTACTCATGGGTAGGGAAGTAAACATCAACATACCAGGATTACAAAAGAGGCCTGAAAACCAAGCTTGGAGAACAGCACGGCAAAAAGACAAAAAAGAAAAAGAACAGATTGAGAAATCGCACAGATGAAAAAAATAAAGCTAAACAGACTAACATGGAACCCGGAGATGTCATACTACTTAAACAAAGTAAACACAACAAGCTAACACCAGTTTACCACCCAACACCATGGAGAGTAAAAGAATTCAGAGGCGAATCTGCAATTATAAGTGACAAACTTATTTTACGACACACATCACAAATGTAAAGAATCCCCGAAGACAGGACTCGCCAACAACCAAGGGATGACGACTTCCCGTTCAACGACGACATTTTGGGGGTGGGGGCAGAAAAATATAGAACATGAGAGAGAAAGCGAGGAGGAGGAAAAAGAATAAGCAGACATCCCTATAGACCTAAGACGATCAAAATGCCATATAAGAAAACCCCGAAGGTATGCAGGCAGCAGTTCGGAAGAAAAAGGAAACAATCCGAATAAAAAGGAGGGAGCGGATGTGATGTCCGGGCGAATATGAATAGAACCCGCTCGGTTGAGGTGGGAACTCTTCAGTAGACAGCAAACTACCAATCTATGTGACATCTCTATAAACCTACCTGCACATCCAAGCTTACTTAACTTAAAATTTTCAAGCTGTTACCAATCTATGTGACATCTCTATAAACCTACCCGAATATCCAAGCTTACTGAACTTAAAATTTTCAAGCTGTTACCAATCTATGTGACATCTCTATAAACCTACCTGCACATCCAAGCTTACTGAACTTAAAATTTTCAAGCTGTTACCAATCTATGTGACATCTCTAGAAACCTAGCCGCACATGCAAGCTTACTGAACTGAAAATTTTCAAGCTGTTACCAATCAAAGTGATATCTCTATAAACCTACCCGCACATCTAAGCTTACAGATAAGGCTGTGTTACACTATCCGCTTATACAAGCTTACTGCATCTAGACATTTTTTAAGCTCTAACGAAGGCTCTATTAACATAACTGCACATATACGATTTCTGTATCAAGTATTTTCAAGCTTTAGCCCATCGTCTTACTGACTAAGCACAGTTACACTTCCGCACATATCAGCTTACTAACATTTTCAAGCTGTTACATGTCTAGATACTGACTAAGCTTTATTATACTACCCGCGCATCAAGCCATACTGCAACTAGAATATTCAAGCTATCACCCATGTAGAAACTGGCCAGGCTCTATTAAACTTTATGCACGTCCAATCTTATTGCAACCTAGTATTTGCAAGCTGCAATCCATATAACTGACTAGCCTCCGTTACATTACTGCCCAGCCAAACTTACTGCACCTAAAATTTTGAAGCTGTCACCCACCTAGGTACTGAACAGGATCTCTTACCCTACCCGCACATCCAAGCTTACTGCACCTAAAATTTTGAAGCTGTCACCCACCTAGGTACTGAACAGGATCTCTTATCCTACCCGCACATCCAAGCTTACTGCACCTAAAATTTTCAAGCTGTCCCCCATCTTGGTACTGAACAGGATCTTTTACCCTACCCGCAAATCCAAGCTTAGACCATCACGCATTTTCAAGCCGTCGGCAATCTTGGTACTGACCAGGCCGCACCAAAAATTATCAAACTGTCTCCCATCTCGGTACTGACCAGGCTCTGTTAATATACTCGCCCATCTACGGTTACTGCACCTACAGTTTTCAAGCTGTCACCCATTTTCGGACCAGACTCGACATTGCTTAATTACGGTGATCATACGGAAAACGTTGTTTCAACCTGATGCGACCGTAAGCATCTTTCTTTTTCAGCATTCTTTTCTTTCATTCCAGTTTCATTATAAATTGTAAGCCATATTTTTCCATTTCCAATGTGCATTCGCTTTTTCGGTGTTATGCTTTCGCTGATCTCAGAAAAACACTTGTACATGTTTGTTTGTCACATCCCCAATTCTTAGGGTTTTTTTTTCTCTTGCTCACAAAATACATTCGTCTTCTTAAAATTGCTGGTTGGATCTTTCTACTCGTTGTTTTTGCTACCTTTTCTCCGAAGTTTTTTTTTGTTCTACATCCTCCATAAACACAATGTTATTTGCGTAGTTGAAAACAGTGTTATCTGCGTATATCTTCTTGCTAAAATCGTGTTCAATTGGAAACCAGGATAACAATTCAGCTCATCACTTTGCCGGCTTATTTGTGTTAAAAACGAAAGCATTAAAAAAAATTGCAGGAAAAATGTTGCTTTTGGAATTACAATGATGTTAAGAGAATCAACAATCTTATCAGTGATGGCTATTTTCTTTTCCGGAAAATTCATGAATACAAGAAAAATGAATAATAAAAGCTAGCTAACCCACATCTTATAGACCTAATCTAATCTACTAGGGATTTATTCAGAGGAAGAAAAGGCATGATATAAAGATGAAGAAGACTTAAAGAAAAGAGCTTATATACAAGACCACTTTTCTTTTGGAAGTAAAATACAAGAAAGCAAATACAAAGTGTTCAGTACTTAGTGTTACAGAGTTTGTTTTTTTCCTCGTTATTAAACAAAACAATTTGTAAATATTTTACAAAGCGGAAACAAAAACTAAATGTCAATAAACTTTTTTGATAAACTATTTACTCAATATACCTCCCTCCTTCAATAACTTGCTGAAGATGTTTGGTGAATGACTCGCATGGGGCTCAGATAACACTGTCGATGATTTTGACCCCATTCCTTCAAAGGGTTTGCCTTCGTAGACTTTAAACTCAGAAACCTTCTTTTCTATGATACCCGAGATTCTGTCGCCAAAAGTATCCAGATCTTTTGATGCACCTTGGAACTATCATTCAGTTCAATTTCAATTTGGCAATGTCCTTCGGAGAGTTCAATGCCATGAATATTTCTAAAACTAGATTTTTCTTTTTGGCAACATCTGTCAGCCTGTTGAAATCTTTACAGAATCCTCATAGCTAGGATTTTTTTGTCGAAATTTACAAACATTACGTTTCGGTCAAATTTACAAAACAATTAATGAAATTTGAATAAAATAAATTATTTGGAAAATACTTTGTCAGAATACCAACTTCGGCTTTTAATAATTTATTTAATTTAATTTCATAGCACTTCATGTTTAACAATATTCGTTAACCAAATTTCATTTTTATTCTCTTTTTAAAAGTGAAAAATATATTAGGATCTTTTTTAGTCTTGAGCATGCAACATACAACTGGCCATGCATAAATAATATTCTCTGGGGCCAAATTTAAACTTTTTGATGCGTTTGACTTTGTGAAGTGTTTATAGTTCTCGTAAACGCAGGGCGAACTGGAAACTATATTCTTGTATATAAAAGCTTAAAGTAAAGACATACAAAAAACAATATTGTATTTTTATTAAATAAATATTTGTCGTTTTTATCATAAAATTGCTTTTAAATAGTTTTTTCCACTTTTTAATGACTCTCGGGATCACTCTGACTCGGAGTGATAGTGACTGTTTTAATGGGTCCCAGCTATAGGTAAAATAACAATTTTTCCACTTTTTTTTGTTGTTGTGATCACAACCCAAATTTATAATATTGTTGCTAATGTTTATTAACATGAAGTACTTAACTGTGGACAAAGTGATATGACTAATTTTTGTGGATATTAATTTTCTTTAAAAAAAAATAATAATAAAAAATAATTAAAAAAAATAATTAAATAAATAAAAAAAAAATTTATTTTATGAATGCTAAAAAAAAATTCGGAATACTAAACTATTTGTTCCATATTAATATTGACTTTACTAAATTTTGAAAGAAGATTCTGTAATATACCCAAAAATGGGGGAGTTGCAGTTTTGGGGGTAGGTTATGTACTAGTGAGTTAGCCCAAATGACTTGACTCACTTAATAGTCCACCAATAGAAGGTTAACCAGTCAGAAGACGTAGTATATTCAATCCGTCGTGTATAAAGGCGGTCATTTTGTTTACTCTATCCAAATGTCCAGTTCCAGCTTTTCAGGCGAAGAGGAACAGAAGGAAGAACTACGCTCTGCTACTTTTACCGGGATATCCACTGCTAACCTGAACTACGCTTTCCTAATGTCTTCGAAATATTCACTGCTAACCTCTGGATTCTATATTCAAAGACGACCGTCATCAGGAACAACATTCTGTGTATGAATTCCTGGGTATTATAAACCTAATGTCTCAGTATTCATTTTTTTACCGTGCAATTTTTTGCTGTTACCATTGCATGTTTTTACCAGGAATATTTTTCCTAACTAAACCGCGGTAAATAAAAAAAAGTAAAACTTAACGGATACGTGTCTCATGCTAACTAAGAACGTTTGGATTTTAAAAGAAGGATGTCTATTTCTACAGCTAGATTTTGTTTTTTTATACAGACTGTATATAGCAAGAAATTCTCCCTCAAACAGGTTGTTATTCCACAGACAACAACAGCTACCACAAGCATCACATACTTTTTTAAGGGTAGGTTGAAATATGAGCTTAGATAAAGTTTCTATACATAAATAGGCTAAATTTAAATGTTATTTTACGTGTAAATGACCACATGAATCGAGCCAATTTCTTTGTTTTTAATAATTTCGAACCTGGCAAATTTAATAAGGCATATTGAACTCACACTGCTTGGGTCCTGTCAATGGACCAAACTAACGCCTTTACCCACTGTGCCCTCTGTCCTACGCACGCTATAAAACCAACTCTACTCTCTATCCCCTTACTTCTTTGCACTTCTCCTCAAATTTTTAGTTTATATCGGACAATGTATATCGGACAATTTTAGAGGGGATGACTGTCAGACTAATGGATATCACATGGATTTATATATAGATAGCGAAATGTTTACTTTAATTTAAAAAAATCAATGCCTGAGATGATAAAATATAGATTAGTTTTATTCAGCAAATCGTATAACATCTCAAAAAATCATAAATCTTTGAAATTTAATTAAAATTAATCCGAGTGTAATATTAAATATTGAACAGCCTGTATATTTTAACAAATATGAATTTTTGGGATAATCCAGTGATGCAAGTGTTTCTTGACAAATATTTGGCACAGAAGAATGGAGACTATTAAAAAGAACTCTGGGAACAGACATGCAGATTAAGTTTTTATGAGAGACTTTACAGGATTCCCTAAAATGAAAACAAGAGTATCTGCAAAGTAAACAGACCAACGTGCGAATTACAAATTCGAAATACAGAAATTAAACTATTGCAAAAAATTTAAATGTATAGTATGTTTTTTAACATTTTATACATGGTTCCGTTACAAATTCACTGCTTTCCTTCCACTGAGTTCTTGTGATGGCAAGTATAAGCTTTCTTTTCTTTCGATTTTCTCTAAACTGTCGTCGTTGATCAGGTGATCAGTGCTTGCTATTCTAACAATCTTTCTGTAGAACCCAATCTCTGTTGCCTCCAAGCGATCATTGGTCTTCAAAACTTTTTGTAGGCCTTGGTGAAGGTTTTCTTTTTGCTGTCCCTCTACGGAAATTGCAAAAATTAAAATATCTAGTATGTGTTTTATTTTTTCCGTTCTTTTATTGCTGTTAGGAAGGTTATTCCCTGCTTTCTTATGTCTTCCCATTCAATATGTCCTGTGAACAAACCCTCTTTTTTATCATTGTGTGACCAGGAAATTGCATCTGTCTCTTTCTGATTCAAAAGTGTTTTTTTTTTTCGTTTGAATTTTCCTTAAACAATCATCATTACTAGTGTATTACTGGTGTATCACTGGTGTGTTCGGTCAAAGGCATTATCGGCATCTTTCTGTAGAACTGTATTTCTCTTGCTCGAAAGCAATCGTGGCAGCCACAAATTTCTGTCTTTTTTTGTATCCTTTCTAATGTCTGGTCTGCTGACCATATACACATACTCATTTTGGAAAGTTATTCATTGCTTTTCTGAGCCCTCTATTCCTCATTAGATCAACTGGATCTTTCTGATTCTAAATCCAGTAGAACCTGAAGGCCGTTCGTAACCCGAAATGTTCGTAAACCGAAACTATTTTTCCAACAGTAATCAATATAGAGTAAAAAAGTCACAGTACAATAAAATTGGAAAAGAAAAGCACTCTACAACACACGAATGTATACAACACGGCGGTCGGCTTAGAAATTGTTCCATTCGTGTTAATTCGGTTCGGCTATGTTATTCGAGAACCGAAATTTTGTTCGATAACCGAGGCATTTTCATCTCGAATTTTCTGTTCAAAAGCTGATTTGTTCGACATGTGAGACGTTCCTCTATATGTCTTTTTTTGCTTCCATCAGCCTTAAAATGTACTCGTTACTCATTTGATCACTCTATAGCATTCTCAGTATCCTTCTGTAGAACCACTTTTCAGTTGCCTCAAATATTCTCTTTATCTGTGAGAATATAATGTTCGGGGTTTCATTTTAATCTAAAATGAGTTAATTTCCCCTGCAGCCAGATCCCATGAATTTTCGCTTATGGCCGCATCACGTTGAAACCCCGGTTCCCGTGCGATCACCGAAGTTAAGCGACTTTGAGCCTGATCAGCACTTATATGAGTGACCTCTTGGAAATATCTGCTGCAGTAAGCTTTGATGTGCAGTTTGTATAATTGTTAATCGGAGAAGTAATTACCAAATTCCGTTGGGTTCTTCATATTCTCTTACGTGCAAATACCGTTGGGGAAGGTATAGATCTATCTCTTCTCTCTCCAGCTATGAGTTAATTGGTATGATTTGTATCACTAAAAACATTATTATTTTTTAAAAAAAAAACATAATAAAATAAAATTGCGTTTAAAATATTTAGATTTCGGCATTAAATATTCCATAGGAGTTGATAAACAAAAGACAACCATATAACATCTAAAACATTAGTTGCTTTAGCAATTAAAATCAAGTAACCTTTTCTTCTTAATAAAATGTCTAAATGCAGGCATCTATAAGAATATTTTCATCCATTTCATGTATCTTCAATGGGATTGCTTCTTTTTTTTGCGCTTCCTGATTCTTTCCCTATGTTTCTCCGTGTAAACCTATGTAACATTTTATATTCTTATACATTAAGATATTTCTGGATTAGCTTAGAAAAGTCGTGTTGAACGGAAACGCTCCTAGTTCATTTCCTATTAATTCGGTGATTCTCCCGGAGCTCTATGCTTAAACCTACGTACTTTCTTATCTTCAAAGACGTCATCAGTTCCCAATTATTTATACTGAAAACAGAACGATTTACTCCTGTCTCAGTAGCAAGTTCGACAGGTTTGACAAATTACAACTGGCACTTGCTGTCGAAAATGACCTTCTGTCCGTTATTAACTGAGAAGAAATTAATTGTAATTTTTAACGCCTCCAAAATAAAACTGCTTTCATTTAATCATCATAGTGAATAATTCCTGCCTTCCATCAGTACGGCTGATGCGTCTTTGTCTGTTTTTTATCGCCACAACTGATGATCAGGTTTTCTACATGGCATTGATTATATTGAATCGATTGTTAGGTCTACTGCTTCGAAAGTGGGTTCATCTTGCACATTTATAATAAACTAGCAGTAGAGCCCGGCGTTGGCCGGGAATGTAACAGTAAGAGATAGATCAAGTATCGACCATCATAAAGACTGAAAAATAAAATTGATAAAGACTATTGTTTAAGGTTGACGGACACGCATGTCTTAATTAGTTGTTTTTTGTTTTGCTTTAATTTTTTTTTAAGAATTGGTCAAAACCAAACTCAAACAAAAACATTGTTTTCAATCGTTATGAGTCTACCGATTGAATAGAATTTTATTATAAACAATTCTCTTGTAAATGGAATTTTTAAAGCATTCTGAATGTAAAAATAAAGAAAAAATGTGTGCAAGACAATGAAACACTACCTGCCAAAAAAAAGTGAAGTTTTGTTGAAATCGGTTGAAAAATGTAGGAAATCCGATCCCATATATAAACGAACACACACACACACACAAACAACCTGGGTTTTATAATAAGTATAACTCGATATGAGTTGTCCCTTCATTCCGCGAAAGTGATGCCTCTTAATCGTGTTTTCAAATTGATTTCGTGCAAAACCAATTGTGTTTTTCCCATTTTTGACGCTATCAGAACCGCCGCAAGGTAATTTTACGTAGTCCTGTGAAGTTTTGTTGAAATTGGTTGAAAAATGTAGGAAATCCGATGCAATATATAAACGTACAGATACACACACACACACACACACACACACACACACACACACACAACCTGGGTTTTATAATAAGTATGATCATTCGGCCGTGAATTATATTTAATCTGGTGCTACTGATATATATCTCGATATTCTTGACAAAAGTCAAAGATTCTATATTATAATCGATCCAGTGACTAACTCACCACCACGACGTGGCTTCCCTCTGTCTTTTCTACAAATATTCACATGGTAATTGTTCTCGTATCTTTTCCTCCTTAGTACCTCGACTTAATTTAAGCGTACAGTGGGCTATGATAAGGTTTTAGCCACCCTTGATTACAGCAATTTTGACTTGTCTCTTCTTTTTATCAGACAATACCGTGTTAGTATCAAGTATCATCTATGAACAATAGTTGACTTATATCTTGCAATGAAATTTCGTGGAAGTAAGAAAATCAGTGAAGGGCAAATAATAGGATGGCATCAGTGTGGCAAGTCAAATAGAGAAATTGCTAGTTTTTTTTTTCCAGGTTAATCATATAATAAGTCAATAATATTGTCAAGCAGTTTAATGAAAAAAGCCATTATCGTGTGAAAAAATGGTCAGGAAGACCAAGCATCTTATCTTAGTGAACGAAAATGGCACTGAATAGGGAAGGCATCAGAAACCGTCGTCAGATCGTCAAAGAAGTCGCCAACATGATGGACATATCGTCATATGCGGTGAGAATGACTCTGAAAAAGCTAGGCTATCAAAGAAGAGTTGCAAGAAAGAAGCCCCTGATTCCGGATAACAGGAACCTTTGTATGCACTGAGTAAGGCAATTCGAGACAAAGATTATGAGTTTTGGCAGTCTGTAATTTGGTCAGATGAAATTCGAGATTGGTTTATGTTTGGAGAAATCAGAATGAGACTTGGAACACTGAATATCTGCAGGCGACCATGAAACATGGAGGGGTTCGCGTAATGGTGTGGGGCGCTGTCTGGTTTGGGGGGAAATCTGAGCTGATTCTTGTTGACAAGTGGTTGAATGGTCCAAAATACTGTCAAATATTAAAGAAAAGACTACTCCCACTATTTGAAACCAATCAGATTGACAAGAATGTGAACCTTTTTCAAGAAGATGGAGCGCCATGTCATACGAGCAAAGTAGCAAAGGCCTGGAAGGAATCTCAAAGAACCAAGTCACTGCCATGGGTAGCCCAAAATCCTGACATGAATCCAATTGAGAACGTTTGGGAACACCTTGACCTAAGACTTCGAGAGCGTGCAACCAAAATAACCTCAGTGGCAAGCCTTAAAGAAACATTGCTAAAGGAGTGTCAAAATATAGATCAGACGATTGGTGATAACTTGATCAAATCCATGAAAAAATCGAATACAAGAACTGAAACTAGCAAATGGAGGACCTACTCCATACTAGTTCCAAATACTGTTTATTTATGTTAAATAGGGATTACGTAATTAAATTTTGAAATTGGGTGTGGGTTTATTTCTCCTGGCTAAAAACGTTTCTTAGGCCACTAAATTTGCAACAAGATCTCACCGTTTTACCGTCGGACTAACTATATGCAACTATATGTTCTATTCTGATTCACAGCTGCAGGACTCCCTTCCGATTTCTTGCTTCCCTGCCAACTACAATCTTCAAAGACTTCAATGGAATGCTAATCACTATTGTCTGTCTTCCTGAAACCTGTTCTTTCTTGTCCTTTCTCTTCTAAAAGTCTTCCCATTCTCTTTCACTCACTGTAACCCCTTGCGGGTTAGTGGCATTACCGCCTTGCCTGGGGTGAAATGATTATATGAAAATTAATCTGGGATTAATCTTCAACTACGTTTCAGATCTCTGAGAAATACTTTCTACTTGACATACAATATTTCATAAAACTGTTCCTTTTTCGTACCGTTAAAATCCGAGGGCCTTTGTAAAGGTCATACAGAATCACAAAGAAATGCAGCAAATAATATCATATCACCTGATCCCTACCAAAGGAACAACAATTCAAGTGGATAAGATAATAATAGAAACGACAATAATGACATAATTAAGATAATAACATTGACTTGAAATAAGGGTTAGGAAGGAAACTCCCATCAATATGGGAAAGAGCGATAACAGCTACTGGACTTGAGAAGAGAATATAATGACACAATCAAGATGTTGACGTTCCACACTACTTCAAAGAAAAGGTTAGGAAGGAAACTCCCATCAATACTGGAAAGAGCGATAACAGCTACTGGACTTGAGAAGAGAAAATAATGACATAATCAAGATGATGACGTTCCGCACTACTTCAAAGAAAAGGTTAGGAAGGAAACTCCCATCAATACTGGAAAGAGCGATAACAGCTACTGGACTTGAGAAGAGAAAATAATGACATAATCAAGATGTTGATGTTCCACACTACTTCAAAAAAGAAAAGGTTATCAATACTGGAAGGAAACTCCCATCAATACTGGAAAGAGCGATAACAGCTACTGGACTTGAGAAGAGAAAATAATGACATAATCAAGATGTTGATGTTCCACACTACTTCAAAAGAAAAGGTTAGGAAGGAAACTCCCATCAATACTGGAAAGAAGAGCGATAACAGCTACTGGACTTGAGAAGAATCAAAATAATGAAGAGGATAATCAAGATGATGACGTTCAAGCACTACTTCAAAGAAAAGGTTAGGAAGGAAACTCCCATCAATACTGGAAAGAGCGATAACAGCTACTGGACTTGAGAAGAAAATAATGACATAATCAAGATGTTGACGTTCCACACTACTTCAAAGAAAAGGTTAGGAAGGAAACTCCCATCAATACTGGAAAGAGCGATAACAGCGACTGGACATGAGAAGAGAAAATAATCACATAACCAAGATGTTGACGTTCCACACTACTTCAAAGAAAAGGTTAGGAAGGAATCATCCATCAATACACGAAAGAGCGATAACAGCTACTGGACTTGAGAAGAGAAAATAATGACATAATCAAGATGTTGACGTTCCACACTACTTCAAAGAAAAGGTTAGAAAGGAAATATCCATCAATACACAAAAGAGCGATAACAGCTACTGGACATGAGAAGAGAAAATAATCACATAACCAAGATGTTGACGTTCCACACTACTTCAAAGAAAAGGTTAGGAAGAAGAATCATCCATCAATACACGAAACTCCATCAATACTGAGAGCGATAACAGCTACTGGACTTGAGAAGAAAAATAATGACATAATCAAGATGTTGACTTTCCACATACTTCAAAGAAAAGGTTAGGAAGGAAACTCCCATCAATACTGGAAAGAGCGATAACAGCTACTGGACATGAGAAGAGAAAATAATGACATAATCAAGATGTTGACGTTCCACACTACTTCAAAGAAAAGGTTAGGAAGGAAACTCCCATCAATACTGGAAAGAGCGATAAAAGCG